AATAAGATTCGAATGGAGCTTGCAGCTTGCAAAGCCCTTGACATCAAGCACAGGCCCCGCAGCCCAAATCCACATGCTTTCGTTCTTTCGAAACGCCGAAGATGTTCTCACAGTGGCACGGAAGGTGCACGATGTCACTGCAAAACTTCGGCAGCACGAAGAAGTGGTTACGCCGGAGACAGGCGGGCACTGTCAGGATTTGTTTCGTACCATCTTCCATTGTGCACCACTTGTGTAAGGCATTCAGATAAGACTGGCATCCCAGAAGCCGTGGAAACTGAGATGAACCATGTTGATGCAGGGCTTGTAGAATCATGAAGTCATTGGGAGGGGGGGCAAGGGGCGCTACTGCACCGACGGGATGTCTTGCGCCATTGCGATCGCCTACCACAGATCGCCCAACATGCTGCAGCTGGCTAGCCTCTAAACTAGCCAATTTACAAAGAAATTGCTGGGAAATGGACGCCGTTACTGCAGCCTTTTTGGCTTCTGTTGGCTTCTATGGCACTCCAGTTGGTTGCGTAGAAGTAGAAAAGCCAAAAGTCTTCCACATAATTGCAGATCTGCGGTTTCGACGAATGCGGGAGTGCCTTCTAAGAAGCGATTTGTGATGTTCCCTTTTGCCTGCTCCAGGCAAACTCCGAGAGCAGCTCATCGCAGCTCTCCGGGAGGAGGCCATCCATCTTGTCCGCACGCTTTCAAACCTGGCTTTTCAAGTGGCATGTAGCCGCCATTTGGAAGACAGTTCTGCTCTTCCTGCGGTCGGAAGTTCCCCTTGAAAGTTGCCGAGAGGGTGGTTTCCCGCCTTCCCTTGTTCTGACTCGACAAACAAAGCTCCAGGAGTTCTGCATGGCTCGCCTTGCGGTGCTGCGGAAGTCCCAAGCCCAGGACTCTGACAATTTAGATACATGTTTCATGAGGGTTGCGAAAAGAGGACTACGGGATCTTCATAATCGGGCTAGGGTAGGAGTAGTGTCAGGGTGTCAAGCTTTCCCTGAAGTTCAGACACGAAGGGGGCCGTGCCTTTTCTACTCATGACGGAAACGACGAAGATCGCTGCCAGTGTTCTGATAGAATTGGGCTTGTGCTTACTCGCAGACTATTTCCTCTAGTCTTCTGGTAGCTATCTCGTGGTATGAACAGTAATTTGAGTTTAGGCTTGGTTGTCTTGCTGGGAAGGCTGCTGTCATTCAGGCTGCTCTATGGGTTGTCACTTGGTGTTGGCTCGTTTTCGAGCTTGTTTGTGATAGCGAGATTAGCAGGCATACTCCCCTGTCCACGTCCACCTGTCCACTCTTTCTTCTAGTCGTCTGCAGACCTCGCCTGATATTGATATTGCCCAAGTGTGAGTGTCAAAAGTTTGTTCAGCATCGACGCCCAGAAGGCGTCACCATTGTTCATGGGTCGCTCGAGATTTATTTTGACGGGGTGGTCTGGGGAGTCTCGGGAGCTCCTTGACTGGTTCGTGGGTGTGCCATGCCGGGCTCATGTACATGTTTCTTGTTATTGGTGTTTTCGCTGGCGAGATTATGAACAGAAATATATAACTGTAACTATCAATCTTGGCATGTGTCTATCTGTGTGTCTGTCTATATCTCTCTCTATAGATATATGCGGCTAAATATGTACATATATACATATATATGTATTGCTGTATCTACGGAACCTACGGTGTCGATCTATCCATGCATCTGTCAAAGCAGTCATCAGTTAATTATCTGTCAATCAATCTAATTTCTAATGATGTGTACATGTTTGTATAGTGCATACACGCGGCAGAAGCAATGTACATGTACACGAATTAGAAAAGCAGGTGGCAATTCGTCATCTATCTGCACTGGTAATTGCAAGCCTGTAAAACCGCAGAGGATGCCTGCCAGTCCTTTCCTTTCGAAAGCTTTTAAGAAGCCAGGCTAATCGGGCGTCTTGATGGTTTCGGGTTCGGGTCTCACTTTTCCGGGTACTGCTGAATGTTAAGATATGTTTTGCTACGTCGTGTTTTCTCTGTTCACGATTCGATTTGATTTTGTGGGTCTTCCGCATTTTGCATTATTGAAACACCACCCCCGCCCCCCTCCCATTGAGCCGTAGATGCCAGAACCCGCAGCATGCCTTGCCTGCAGGATGTGAAGTTCCTCGCGAGTTTGCGTCCCTCGGCGTATCTTGTAGACTGCGCTCTGGGCTTCAGCCATCTCAAGCTTAGATGATTGCCCGTGAAGCTTTTAGGTAACATCACAGGACTGCCGGTCACAAGATTCGTTATCACGGGTGTTAAATATGGAGCATCTTCTCACATCACTGAGGATATCGATGTTCATCATGTTGCTAGCTAGAGACCATATCTTGCAGCAGTGATGCTCGGACCCTGGTCCAAAGCTTAACATGGTCATGAGTGCTGGTTTGCTTGCCAATCCACGTGCCCTGTCACACATCCGTACCACTCAGACCTGCTATGAGGCGTACTGCTAGGTTAATACAGGAACGGTAGACTTTGTCTGTTAGTAATGTTTACTGTTTACATATATTACTCCATTACCGCCTTAGGGTCCCTTGCGTACTATAGTTCTAGCAGACTATATCCCAAAACCCTACTCTAACTCTTTATGCCGCATCTATGCCCCTGCAGTCGTCATGTGAGCCCACGTGTTTGCGAGATAAAACCGATGCAACCACGACATGTGGAATGACACTCACTTTGCTTGCTCCTTCCAGTCGCCTCAATGGTCCATACTGTGCCTTTTGGTTCGCATGCCTAAGCATGGAATTGTTTACCACGTTTCATTTTCTTGGCATTTGTTAGTTCGGATGACCGGTTGTTGGCAGACCGTCTCTTGACTTACAACAAGGCTGTTCGAGTTTGTTGAGGCCCCTTGGAACATGAAGGAGAGACACACCCCAAACCACTAAGAGTAGAACTTGCCCAGACTGGTGCACCGAAACTCTCAGACTGCACGCCCTCAGGCCTCTGGAAGTTGTGAAGATCAGATCAATGTGCAAGCAGGTGTTTCCTGTCAGTTCTAAGTTGTGTTCGCTTTCCAGGCAAAGCGATCGGATGAGCTCTGCGAGGGCGAAGTCCTCGAGTTCCGACAATGTCAAGGTGCCCCTGGCCTGGGGCTTTCGTTTCGCCGAAACTTCGGAGGATTTTGGCAACAGGCCAAAACTTGGTCGTGCTCGAGCTTCGGAGGTACTGTAGATGCTCTCATACCGAGGAACCACTCCTTACGATATTCAATGAGATAATGCAAAAGGTTACGCTGGCGACGTGACAACACAACCCTCGACTTCATCCGGTCCAGGCGAGCAAGATGACTCGGCCGCCATGGATCAGCAATCCGTTCCATTCTGAGCGATTTGCTGGCATGTCAGGATTTGATCACACCGCCTTAACAGTTACTGCACAAGTGCTTTCTGTCAATGGCCTTCAAGTCGAAACGGCAAAAAGCCTCTGTTTTGTTTGGCTTCCATAATGTGGTGACAGGCGCAGCAGCAAAGCTATGCGCCGGAAAATTTTGACATGCTGTGAAGAGTTCAACTGGTTCTTGCTTGGACAAGAGCAGATTTTGACCCTGGCAGCATTCCTGGCTGGCAAACCGAGTTTTCTCGCAGCGCCAGGGAACGGGAGGCTTGCCAGTTCGTAAGTATTTTGCAGGTAGGACAGCGCAGGTGAGATCACGATCTGTAACAGTAAGGCATACCGTATAGTCGTATAGAGAAAGCAGCAAGACCCCATGACCAAGCAGCAATTCACATAATTGGCCTCGTCGTCGTTGTCCGTGTACAGTACTCGTACACGCTGTTTCGGAGGCTGTGCATTGCCCGAAGTTTATTGTGGCCCATTGTGCTGATGATCTGTTCGTTCGACAAAAGTCTACAACCGCCGGAGTGCAGAAGGAGTGGTCAAGGGTGCTGTCAGAAGCAACGCGCTTGATCTATCGCGGAGAATCATCCTGGTCTCAGCTGCAGCTTAACCAACTTCATCTAGTTTCGCCCAGAAGGCATGCAGTTGCTGCAAGTGCTGGCGAGCTTGGGCTACTTTAGGCCAGCATGCGCGCAGGCAGAGAGAAGAACGTTCTTAGGTTGCAGCAGCGCAACATGTTCTTTTGACCAAGATCTCTAGGATAGGTGTCAAAAGCACCTGGTGCTGAAATTCAATCCTCAAGGCCGAACTCCAGACCTCCGCTCCGATGTTTCTTCTTGGGTTCGGGTGGTTTCGCACTAAGCAATTGTCGTGTAGATGGTCGTCCTCCTCCTCGCAGCAGCCTATTTCAGGGATGCTGGGTATGCTCTGCACGTTATCATCGGTCCGACTGAAGCCTGAATCCGCACAGCTCCACGTCCCCGGCTCTCTGTGATTCAAGCTGAACATTGCCGATATTTAGTTCGTAAGATTAACATCTCGCTGGCAGTCTATGCCTGGATCCATGCAGCATGGTATGCTCATACCCCAAAGCTTTCTTTCGCGATTCTTCCTTGCATGAGGCAGCTTAACACGAGTAGCCACCTCTTTTTCCGAGTGGATCACTCACAACCTTTAGAAGCTTCAAAGCAACCCAAACTTCAGCCATCCCAGCACCCGAAGCTTTTGCAGTGGCAACTGTAAGCGACCACTAGCATCGAGAATGACGATAAGGATGCCCGCAGACTTGCGGTATCGAAACTCCAAACGACGACGCTAGTAACGGCAAGGGTAAGCAGTAGGAGCCAAAGTGCAACACTGAACAACACCCCTCTCGTCCTCAACCCTCGCACTGCTGACAAGGACACCGGAAGTTCCCGTATCCTGCGCGTAAGACCTTGAGCCCTTGAGCCCTCCTCTATGTGAGAGCGTAAAACAAGTTCCCGAAGTCAAAAACCATCGGAAAAATCCTAAACCCTAGCTTCGATCTTCTTGTGACTTGTTCAGAATTGTGCTCTTGACTTAGCCCTGGCCAGCTTAATCCAAAAAGCCACCGGAACTACGTTGAGTCCAATATCTGCTATCGACCAGCGCTGACAGCGAGGCAGAGGAAGCAATGGCGCAAGCCAAGCAGCTTTCAGAGGACCCTGGCGTAGGCTCAAGATTTGAAAGAGCAGCAACAAGATTGCGAGTATTAATGCTCGTACTTATACTGGGTGTCAGAGCATAAATCGCCAAGAGTCGCCAGGACCTCGACCGAGCCCAGGATCAAGCGCAGAGGCAGGGGCGTTTGGGAGTTGGGGTTCATGGGAAATCTCCGCATGATATTTCTGTCATAAGCACTGCCTTTTCCATGGTCACGTATCATGGTAAAGCAATACGAACTTGAGGCTCGTAAACCCATATCAGGACGAGAGCCCGAGTGGGCTTCGGGTCTATAGTTGTATTGTAGCATGCAGCAGAGGGCAGCAGCAGGAAGCGCTTGAATAAGACTCGTCTCAAGGCCCTGGGTCCGAAGAGCTCCAAGCTTGGATGATGGACCCACCTTGTCAACGGCAGAGGTAGTGCCAAAAGCAACGAAAACGACGGTACTGCAGCAGCGGCAACAACAGCAACTGCGTAGCGACATAGAGAAGACCAGCAGCAGGAGCAGCAACGACGAAGACAGTTTCGAGTTGCAGTGCCTGCTGCCCACGGCCAAAACTTATGCACCAAGAAAGGAAGTCTATGCAGTAACCATACTTTGTTGCACCAATTGCCACAAGTACGAAACAGACTCTTGCTGGATATGTTATTGTTACTGTGCCAAAGCTTGGCTGAAGGCTTGCTGCTGATAAGATCAACCTCCTCAGTGAGATGGCGCAGGCGGCAGCCGCTTGCTTTTCAGGGCGGTTATGAGGCACGTAGAGTAACATCGGGTCTGCCTCTTGTAACTGACTACAATAATGGTGATAGTCATAGTTACTATAGCAGCAAGAATGATGTTGATGACAGTGGTTCTTATAAACAAACAGAAATAGTCATAAGAGTAGCAAAAAGTCTGTTGTAATCACAATTAGGTCATGGGTTTACGGCAGTTGGTCCAGAGGCTGAAAAAGGGAGCCGTAAGACCTGAAGAGCCTTGTACCGCCTTGCCGTCACCAAAGTCCTTCTCGACAAGGCGCAGGCGGATGCCGACCAGATTCTCTGCGACACGAAGGCCCTCGCAATTAAGCATTTGGCCTTGACCGGTGTAAGACTCACAATATGTCTAGGATTTGGTGATTTGGTTGGCAACATGTTTCGATCTGCGGATTTCATGCACCGATCAGGCTCAATTCAACCCAGAATCCCAACCCAAGGCAGTAGGTAAGTAGGTCGGCGTACTTTGTGGCCTTACCTTAGCGTTGTAACCCGGTGTTTTGCAGAGCCGACTTACGAACAACTCCGCGAGTAGGAGTGGGGCAGAGACCTTGGCACTGTCCGCCTTTGACAACTGTAGCCCGTGCCCGTCGCAAATCGGTGCTCAGCTAATTTGGTTTGGAAGCGCTTTGTTGTCTGCGGTGTGTTGTACGGTGCGACAGGCTGGCGGCGAAACTGGTTCCTACTTCGACTTTTTAAGTCCGATCGAAGTCTTCGACAGCCACATGTAACCTGCTATGCAGTCGCTAGACGCGCCATGCGGGAACCAAAAAATCCCAACCCAACATAAACTTATCTCCGTAGCCCCACACCTTAGAGTTGAAGTGCAGCAAAAAGGACGAAGCAGAAAAATGCAACATCAACTCGACGAATCCCTGGAGCAACCCTGCCCCCCCCCCCACCAATACAAGAGCAACATCTGAGAGTCTGAGACCATCCAAAATCATGTAGAGGCTTGATGAAATGCCAATACCATCGCTTGCAGAGGTCCCTATACGTAACCAAAGCCCTTATTCTAACCTAACAGACCCCTGTATTACCTTACGGTAACCCTTCTAGAGCTTCCTTTAGCAGGATCCCGTGAAACGAACCCTACTCTACTCCTTCAAAAACTGACTATAGAACCCAACGGGGAACCTTTGTTCAAATTCTACAAAAACCGAAAAGCCATAAAAACCTGAGCCTGACAGGAACCTTCATTCAACCCGTACCAAAACCTAAAACTCCCTTTAAAACCCTGCCAGCACCCTATAAAGCCCCAGCTTTTTATTATATTATATTATACTATACTATATTATACTATATTATACTATACTATATTATATTATATTATACTATACTATATTATATTATACTATACTATATTATATTATATTATACTATACTATATTATATTATACTATACTATATTATATTATATTATATTACAAGGCGAGCTTCGAGGCGCGCTTGGGCGAACGTAGCCGGGCCTTGGCTGGGAGCCCCAGAGCTATCACTTGGAGGCCCCTTTTGACTTAGTAAGTTAGGGTTCCTTTAAAGGGGTCCTAAAAGGGATCTATAGGGGTTCCTTAAAGGGATCTATAGGGGTTCCTTAAAGGGATCTATAGGGTTTAGGGTTTCGTACTTGGAGGCCCTTTTTGGCTTAGTAAGCCCTAAAGGGTTCTTAGGGTTCCTAGGGTTCCTTTAAAGGGTACTATTAAGGGTTCCTTTAAGGGGTACTATTAAGGGTTCCTTTAAAGGGTACTATTAAGGGTTCCTTTAAGGGGTCTATAGGGGTTTAGGAGGCCCTTTTGACTTAGTAGGGTTAGTAAGGTGGGTAGTGGGGATTATAATAGGGTTTCTAGGGGATACTAAGTAGACTTACTAAGTCAACAGGGCCTCCAAGCAGGGTTCCGCAGTGTTCCTTACAGAAGGGGCCTCAATAATTACCAAAACTATTTTAGGGGTTCCTTTTGATAACTATAGTATAATGGGCCCCTAAAAAAACTTTAGGGTTTCCTTATTATAACTATAGTATTATGGGCCCCAAAACCCTATTCAAATTATTAAGGCCCCTACATTACCATGATAGACAGAGCAAAGCGGACAACAACAGGAACCATAGTAATCGCGTTGCGATGCTGATGGCTATCTCTAGGAATGCATAGATATCTATGTACGTGCGAGTGTTAGCGTCGAATACCCTCAGCCGCTGAACCGAACCTCCGAAGAAATCGACAGGGCTTTCGTGAGAGGGCGTTGGAGCTCGCGTCGGGGACTTCACTCGCGTAGCGCAATAATTTGAAGCCGAAAGCAACATCCTATAGGGCCTACTATAGGGGGTAATAGTAATAGATACACATACATGTCTATGCACAGATAGATATGTAAGAAGATTTTGTTGTTGTATCTAATTGGTACTTTACGAGCAGTGTAGACACGTACAGTTAATAAGTCTCCGGTTGGTGCCCGCATCCTGGAAATACTGTCAGATTGTTCTTGTGGTTCGATCCATCCAGAGCGTAAGCAGGTCCAACTGGGCGGTACATTACGTAGGGACTTCGCGGGTTTCGGTTGCATAGCATGGTCCTTGGGCCAGTGAGCTCAGGGCTATGCGATGCAGACGCTTCCCACCCAGAAAGTACGAAGTTGCAAAAGTGCGAGCAGATCCTGTCCAGGGCATAATCCATGTTCCGTTTAAGCCCTGCAAGCCGAAGCCCCTGTATGATGCGAGTGCCTAAAACCATGTACAAGTGTAAAGCCCCTTAAGATAAACCCCAAGGCCTGAAACCCTACCAAAACTCCAAGTGCCTCTCACCGCAGCCCAGTAGCCAGGCCGAGATGGAGGAAGCCCACAGTAAGGTCCACCGCTGCCCCCGCCCGGGCTGGCTTCTCCTTTGTGATTTTTGGGAGCCCTGGCTGGAAAGGTCCCGTATGACTTAGACTGAAGTCATCTTGAAAGATTTCGTGGTAAAGTCGGATCCCTCTAACTCTAACTAAACCCTCAGAAAAGAGGGTCGACCCCTTGTAGGTTTGGTTGACAGGGGCCCTCAAGCATGGCATTGAGTCTTCCACTCCCCGAATGTCGACCGTTCCTCTTCCACAAAGGCCTCGCATACGAAGATTGTCAAATCAGGGCTCTGCATAAGGTGCTGCACAGGAACAGTAGTTTATTGATACCGTGATGAGACCTCGTCTGGCGGAGTCCGAGTTGCGACAGTGTGGCGCCCTGATGAGGGTCCTGATTTACAGCAACATACAGCGACTAATTTAGGCATTTGTGGGGCTGTGCGCAAGGCGTTCTTCTGGCCGCCGTGCATCTGGCTGAGTCCGAATGATCACGCTTGCAATAGCGCGGACATGGAGATTTGGGGCCTTGATGTAAGTAACGTGTAAGATTGAGTTATGCAGCAGTTAGGCTGTAAACTTGTCGGAACGGAATTCTCAACACAGACTTAAATCAACAAGATAGAGGGGCGATCACTGCTTTCCAACCAAAAGCGCTGAATCCAATATAGTCAAATTAAACTCGGCTCCAGTTCAATCCCCAGGCCCTTGAGGCCAAATTAAGCCCCGGAGGTCTGGAGAAGATGTTTCACAAACGCTGCACGGGCTATACACCTAGGGACGTCTTCGACATTTCAGCAAGCAGTCCGAATAACCTCAAGAACCTTACTCCCTCTAGCCCCAGGGTTCCCCTTAAAGGGATCCTTACGAGGGATCTATAAAGGGATCTATAGTAGGGTCCTATAACGTAGGGGCCTTAACTATTCCCCCGGACAGTCCGAAACAGAGCGCCATGAGCGATGCGCCAGCGCTGACGCCGCCGCCATGCCTGCCGGAGCCAAGGATGGGTTCTGCTCTAGGGGCTTCAATAAACAGTACAATTCTGAGGGTTCCTTATTGAAATTGTATTATAATGGTTCTAACACCCTATTCTACTTTGTAAGGCCCCTATAGCACCGGTTTTTTGTTGCTTTTCTTCGTGGGAGTGCAAGAAGAGCCTTCGAAAGCATCAGGCAGGAGCGCGCCGAGTCCGAATCTGGGACTCCGATAGCCCGAAAAAACTACCAGACCAGTTAGCATTTCGGGTTTATGGGGCAAGGGTTGAAGGGATTTAGGCAGGTCTTTGCAGATCTGTTTAAGGATTGGGGGGAGGGTTGAGGGCTTTCGGAAGAACTTTGCAAGTCTTCAGGGTGCAAGCTCCACACCCTCATGCTGAGGAGCCTCAACCCTATAACCTGACACACCCGGCGTTTGTAGACCTACTCTCCCAGACCTTTCTAGCTCTGACAAGTGTGGATAAATGTACTCCCAACCAACCCGAAAGCCCAGAGACGAAATGCGTCGGCAGGTGGAACAATGCCGAGATTCCTCCTGTCGACTGGGGTTTCTGTGACAGACTTCAGCATCGACGGGGCTCTTTTGTCCGTGGAGTCCCAGCGTTCAGGGCTTGGGTAATATGGGGGCATTAATTGCCTGTACTATTTGTCTAGAGCTTGTGCCAACTGCTGTACGCGTTGGTGGTGAGGTGGGGTTGAAGGACGCATTGTCTGAAAGACGGGTTTGGGGTCGTCGGCTTATACAACTATAGCATGTTACAACAGGTACTTGTACCATATTCCACCCACTGGCTCCCGCTCTTGACACACACATATGCACTTATGCAACGTTCGCTACCTCTAGCCTTGAGAACTAGGAATCCGCGGCAGCGGTCGTCAAAGTCTTGTTGGATTTGAAGGTGTCTAAAGCTGTAACGCTTGTAGCAAGTATGCTGATACAGACCACGCAGGTCCAGTTCGCAGTGAGGCGCACGTACGTCTCACTGGCCCTCCCGCTATATTGCTGCTCCTGCCGCTTTGCCATTTTGTGGTGCCATCACCACCACTGCTAGGCTTCTTGTCGCGGTTGCTGCGTTACTGTTGTGTACCCGAAACTCTAGACCCAATTGGCTCCTGTAGTGACATGCGAACGGAGAGACCTCGTCTGGCGAGTCCGAGTTGCAGAACGTAAATAGCTCTAGCCTCAGCACTGACGCTTAAGGTATGCAGCTGTCGCAGTTTTCTGACTTTCTAGCCGCATGCCGGCGCACTGCGACCTGGGCACAGGCCGGCAAGGTTCGTTGGATTTAGGCTTAGGGGAACTACAACGGTGTGACGTTCCGAATGCCTGGGAGAGAGACAGTGGGAAACTCGAAAGGCTTCACCATCTCTCCAAACATGATTCTAAGCTTTGTAGCTGCACCGCCAAAGGCCTCGTTATCTCGCACTAAGCTTTCAGAGTGCCACAGATGCTGGTAACTCTTGTATTCTGCGACAACCAGACCCGTCAAGGGATGAGGTGTTTTCACTGGGGATCCTGATAGCTTCAACCTGCTCGACCATTTAGGAAGTAGCCATCATCTCCCAAAGTCTCCAGCAGTTCTTGCAGGCATTGGAAGTGCCGGGCATCCCAAGCCTGTACGCAACCTGGTAGCCTTTGTGCCCGTGGAACCGCGCATGTTCTGTTGCATTTGTTGTTGGTTCCACTGTAGTGCCACTGAAAGTGCTGCTGCTCCTGTTGTTTTTGCTGTTCTTGTTGTTGCAGTCGCTCTTGCTGTTGCTGCTGCTGCTGCGGCTGTGCTTGCGGCTGTTGCTGTTAATGCTGACTACGATCGCTACGGGTACTACCAGGAGGAACAGTCTGGGAGTCTGGACTACCATCGTCGCGTTTTCCGTGCCGATGACCCTCTGCTTTGGCTGCCTCATGCGGTTTTTTTGACGCAGCGGGTTCCGTATTTCTACAGCATTGGTGCTGGTTGTAGTGATTATAGTGGCGCTGGTAGGGAGCATGACAGTTGTGAAGAGGAAGAAAGAGTGTAAATGATGAAATTGAATGACGTGGTCATCAGTCATCGTCGTGGAGTTTGCCAAGCGGCTTTCAAAGGCAATGCACAGATTGTCTTTATTTGCGACAGGCTGATGTGAGTGTTTCCGATGATATGACTTTCCCGACCCACAATTTTCCGACAACCTCGTTTACGTCGTCCCGGTGGCGGCGGTGGAGGGCGTAGTGGTGGTGCTGGCGGCGGCGGCGGCGGCGGCGGCGGCGGTGGTGGTGGTGTGGTGGTTAGCAAACGATGTTCTAGTTGCTAGTGAACTGCCATTGTCATTGTTGTTGTTGGTACAGACAAAAACAGCAGCCCGTACTTGTTGTTAATTAGAAGCAATTAGGAATGCTTCCGGCGACCGCATAGGGTGCCTGTAGAGTTTTGGGAAGTTCAAGCCATGCCTGCCCCATGATAGAAATGCGGTGTAGGCTGGGTGGTTGTTGTAAAAGGGGGGGGGGTCAAAACAACAGACGGGGCTCCAGTTTTTGCCTCTACTACACGGGGTAGAGACAAAGGCACCAGCGAAATCAGGACTTTGTCTCTACCCCCTGTAGTAGAGGCAAAAACTGGAGCCCTGTCTGTTGTTTTGACCACCTCCCCTTTACAACAACCGCCCACATTACACCACATTTCCACCACAGTTATAAGAATCTGCGATATCCAGAAGGGGTTCTGACGGGTGTTGGAAGGGCTTGTCTGGAATTTTGCGGGGTTTGCATTGGATACCCGTACACTCAAAAGTATAGTTACCAGTTACTATACAGTAGTTTGTACTGGCCTCGCAAATGCATATTCTGCACGGCGGGGAACTGAAATACACACCGAATCCATTGAAAATACACACCAAATCCACTGAAATACACACTAAATACACACCAAATACACATTAAATCCACTGAAATACACACCAAATCCATTGAAATACACATGAAATCCATTGAAATACACACGAAATCCATTGAACTACACACAATCCATTGAAATCACGCGCAATCCACTGAAATACATGCGAAATCCACTGAAATAAACACGAAATCCACTGAAATACACACGAAATCCATTGAAATACACGCCAAATCCACTGAAGTACAGACGAAATCCAGTGAAATACACACCAAATCCACTGAAGTACAGACGAAATCCATTGAAAATACACACCAAACAGTATACATCACAGGCATCCACAGGCACTGTGTTGTTGTTGTTGTTGTTGTTGTTGTTGTTGTTGTTGTTGTTGTTGTTGTTGTTGTTTGTTGTTGTTTGTTGTTGTTTGTTGTTGTTTGTTGTTGTTTGTTGTTGTTTGTTGTTGTTTGTTGTTGTTTGTTGTTGTTTGTTGTTGTTTGTTGTTGTTTGTTGTTGTTTGTTGTTGTTTGTTGTTGTTTGTTGTTGTTTGTTGTTGTTTATTGTTGTTTATTGTTGTTGTTTGTTGTTGTTTGTTGTTGTTTGTTGTTGTTTGTTGTTGTTTGTTGTTGTTTGTTGTTGTGGTTGTTGTGGTTGTTGTTGTTGTTGTTGTTTTTGTTGTTGTTGTTGTTGTTGTTGTTGTTGTTGTTGTTGTTGTTGTTGTTGTTGTTGTTGTTGTTGTTGTTGTTGTTGTTGTTGTTGTTGTTGTTGTTGTTGTTGTTGGTTGTTGTTGGTTGTTGTTGGTTGTTGTTGGTTGTTGTTGATTGTTGTTGTTTGTTGTTGTTTGTTGTTGTTTGTTGTTGTTGTTGTTGTTGTTGTTGTTGTTGTTGTTGTTGTTGTTGTTGTTGTTGTTGTTGTTGTTGTTGTTGTTGTTGTTGGTGTTGGTGTTGTTGTTGTTGTTGTTGTTGTTGTTGTTGTTGTTGTTGTTGTTGTTGTTGTTGTTGTTGTTGTTGTTGTTGTTTGTTTGTTTGTTGTTTGTTGTTGTTGTTTGTTTGTTGTTGTTGTTGTTGTTGTTGTTGTTGTTGTTGTTGTTGTTGTTGTTGTTGTTGTTGTTGTTGTTGTTGTTGTTGTTGTTGTTGTTGTTGTTGTTGTTGTTGTTGTTGTTGTTGTTGTTGTTTGTTGTTGTTGTTGTTTGTTGTTGTTGTTGTTGTTGTTGTTGTTGTTGTTGTTGTTGTTGTTGTTGTTGTTGTTGTTGTTGTTGTTGTTGTTGTTGTTGTTGTTGTTGGGGGGTAGAACAACATGACGGGGCTCCTGTTTTTGTCTCTACCTAATGTACAGACAAAAAGCAGATATATGGTGCAGCGCTGCTAGGCCCCCCCTCCCCCCCCCCACCCCATGGTATCCCCCCCTTCCCCCTGTGGTTCCCTGTGGTGTTGGTTCCCCCATGCCCCTCCCCCCTGTGGTTGCGGTCGGCTGCGCCCCCGTCCATGGCTATGCGTCCGGTTGCTAAGGGTTTGGACCGTAGGATGTGATACAGTTCTATTGAACTCCGACCTGCCCTGAGCTCCAAAGCCAATGATAGTGATGAATATGATGGTGGCGATAATGACGAAGCTGGTGCTCATGATCCCCATCCGCACTCTCATCAGGTCCATTGCTCAAAAGTCCCGAATGAAAACCATTCAAATACGTGCTCAAGCTTACTTGTAGCGAACCCAACCGAAACTTGGTTTGGAATAACAACGGTCGATATGGTTTTCGCAAGAACATCACAAGCCAAGCACGGTTTTCAACTAGATAAAGCGATGAACATGCGGTGCCGAAGCCCAGAGCAACATAAGAGCAAAGGTACCACCAATAGCCACACTGGGACTAGCACATCAACATCATTGCGCACAAATTTCTCATTTGTGCTCGAAGAGATGGGAAGGGAAGGGGCCCGGTGGTTCCCTGTGTTGATTATCCTTCCCCACCCCGCCCCTGTGTGGGTTATCCCTCCCGCACCCACCCCCGATTGCCAAGGCGAGAGGTGAGGCCTGGCTTGGGGGGGGAGTTACAGGGATGACGTGTGACTGTTTGATTGGACGAGACGCCTGGCTTCGAGGGCGGAGCATACCATGGGGGGGGGGGGGGGGGGGGGGGCCTGCGACGCGGCGACGCGGCACCATATGGGTTGACGGGGCTGCAGTTTTTGTTTGTACCTTGTTGTTGTTGTTGTTGTTGTTGTTGTTGTTGCTGTTGTTCTTGCTGTTGTTCTTGCTGTCCTTGTTGCCGTTGCTGTTGCCGTTGCTGTTGCTGTTGCTGCTGTTGTTGTTGTTGTTGTTGCCATTGTTGTTGCCGTTACTGCTGCTGTTGCTGCTGCTGCTGCTAAGTTGCCGGTGCTGGTGCTGGGTCGCGGTGGCGGTGGAGTTGGTGTTAGTGTTGGTGTCGGTGGTGGTGGCGTTGCTTTTGGTTTTGGTGTCGGTGGCGGCGGTGGTGGTGGTGGTGGTGGTGGTGGTGCTGGTGGTGGTGGTGGTGCTGCTGCTGCTGCTGCTGCTGCTGTTCGTGCTGGTGGTGCGGTTGTCGTTGTCGCTTTCGTTGTCGTCGTCGTTGTTGTTGTTGTGGTCGTCGTCGTTGTCGGTGTTGTTGGGTTTAGCGGGTTTGTGGTGGTTGTTGTGATCTTTGTGGTTGCTGTGGTCCTGTGTTGTTTTTTTTGTCATGGCTGTTGTTGCTGTTGCTGTGTCAGCTGCTACTGCTGCTGCTTCTGCTGCTGCTGCTGCTGTTGCTTCTGCTGCTGCTGTTGCTGTTGTTGCTGTTGTTATGGTTGTCGTAGTGTTGTCGTTGATGATGAAGTCGTGTTTGTCTGCTGTTGCATTTCCCAGAACACTGCTTCGGGCAGCTCAGGTGATCGTGCCGTGGTTGCAGTAGACGAGCGTTGACGTGTCCACATGTCAGCTCTTGTACTTATACCAGTTCATGGAACTTGACACGTCCTTTTTTTTGGCATTTCATCCGACGCAGCTCGAGACTCTTAGATCGGTCAGCTCAGACAGAATGATTGATATCGGACTCGAGGGGTGCGAGAAGTTTTTTGTGTTGAGAAAGCATTGCGTACACCTTAACGGTCTGGTGCACTCCTGCAAGACGTCGGATGCCATGTCCAGCTTGTAGAACCTCAAACAAGTTGAACCGTACAGTGCAAGGTCCGTTTTTTGCTGAAAGTTGCAAGTGCATCAGGAAATGGGTTTCCCCTGACCCTTTCCCCCTCCTCCTTTGTGTCAGCAGAACGAACAAAGGTCGAACATCTTGTCAAGCCGTGGACTCGAAATACGGGCTACTGGGCTGGCATTTCTGGGCATGAAACATGCATCCGTAGTTTGTAAAAAACGAGCCAGTTTCGCTGTACAGTGGGATTCTCGTTGCACTGCTGCTGCGCTGGTCTTGCAATCGCAGGCAAGTGGAGTCTCTGGGCGTGAACGTTCGGAGTGGCGACCGCAGAAAGAAGAACCTTAATTTAGCACAGGCTGCAGCGTGGCACTGCGGATGAATCCTGAGAGTGCACAGCGGGCCGACTCCTGCTGCAATTGGAGACGTTCGATTTTGTAGGTTTGGGGCTTGGGCATCTTGAAAGTTCGCAGAATCAAGACTCTAAGACAGTGGAATATTTTCCCGAGGTGGTCCACCTTAGTTTTTCGGAAAGCTCCTTTCATGTATGTCTTTTTCCGGCTAGGGCCGACCAAGAATCAAAATGATGTTTGAGCAGACATTGTCTGTTCGCATGTTTTGTGCCGACACTTCTAATTTATTCGGTCATCTTCCTGCAGGGAGCGCATGGTTCGGAGCTTGATGGGTAGCGTGAAATATGAGGGCTGAATTGCGGTCAGTTACGATTGAAATATTGGCCGGGCCATTCTGAAACACCACGAGTTTTCAAAAATAGATTCCCTCGCTGCTGCAATACATCCGGGTCTGATGAGCCCATAAAAACTACCCTGTTACGGTTCACGCTCGGCAACTAGACTGTTGGAAAGCATGGGGAAGCTGTATGTGTGTACATACAGGCATGCATGCACACACATGCATGCGAACATATTCTGCACAGATACGTATGTTTGCACGTGCAGATACGAGTCACATGAACGGTCTCGAGGAACTGATGGTCTCGCATTGCTGGGCCGAGAGCATGGACGAGTGCGAAGAGGCTTTGCACAAGTTCTACAAGCGCAACTTGTCGATGTAAGTTCTAATGTCAGGCCGGGTTGGAGCCTCCACCGCAACATATCCAATACATCTCCATGTCTGGCATGCTTGCAAACTCTAGGCTTAAGCTCCAATCTAGGCATTGAACTGTTTTCCACATCCTGAGCCTTTTCAAGATGCCGTCTTTGTGCTCGAAGCTCGAACTTCCTAGGTAGTATTAGGAAGACCCTGTCAAGGGGCTCTTAAAAGGGAGCGTATTGAGAGGGTCTATATCCCCAGCTGTCCATCTCAGATCCTGAGCCAGAACTCATGCCTATGCTGTCGATGTCCTACTCACTGGGAAATGTTGATGAGAGTCTCAGAAAACATAAAAAAACAGGGGCCCGAAGAGAAACGGCATCTTGGCTCCCCCTAATCCTAACTCCTAGAATCATAAACACAATCAGGCTCGGGTCAGAACTTTGGTTTTTAGTTCAATGGGCTGCCATCTGTTCCTGAGTTGCGAGAACGTTTAGCACAGCAACGCAGCGATGGAACGCTGAAGCATAGACTCTTTTCAAGTTTTGAAGAACTCCACTCACTGACTGCGGGTCAGCACTTGCCTGGCTTAAATCTGGGTGCTCACTTTTGTTCAGAATCCACAGCTCCAAAGTCTTGCAGCTTCCATGATAGCGACAACAGAATGCAGAACTTGCGAATGTCAGGCCAGACAGAGTTCAGTGGTAGACCTGCACACATGCCGAAGACTCAAAAGCATTACTCATTCTCCCTTCCTTCGTCAATTCAACTCCTGACGTCCCGGCGAATGGATATCTCGTCATCTCAAAGACGGACTACTTGGCGAGCAAGGGAACTGCATGAGAGAGTGGCCCCCGACCGCTGGTGCGTGACCCTTTCTGACCTGAAATTCTTGAAGAGCAGTGTCGAGTCTGCAATCGAGGGTGGGGCCATAAAGCCTCCTTCGAATGGGTCGGATGCCTTCAGCAGCGAGGATCGAGCGTACGGCCCAAGCATCTACACCGTGACGGAGCAGCATATCAAGCCTGTGACAGCGCTCGCGGGCAAGATGAGCTGGGCTTTGATGCGGAATCCCAACGGCTTAGACTGCGATCTCTTCATCAGCCACGCCTGGCAGGAGGGTATCTTCGAGTTCATGGCGAAAGTCCTGCACTCCTGGCCGAGGTTCATGCGCCATGCTTGGTGTTGTATGCTGGCAAACCCCCAGCATTTGGACATCGCAGCCATGCTACAGTCGCCCAGGCATTCACCTTTTGCCATCGCCTTGGAAGCTTCCAGAGTCGTTCTGGCAGTCCCCAATCGGCGCTGCTCAATTTATACGCGACTGTGGTGTGCTTATGAAGCTTACCTAGCCGAGGAGCAGGACAAGATCATATTAATTGCAAGGGCATCCAACCGATACAATATCTGTCAGTCGATGATGAAAATGGCTTCTGCTGCCATAGTTGGGGTGCTTGTGGGCTGGGTGAGTAACTTTGGCAATGCGACGGTGACCTTGAACCTGGTCTCTCGTCAGGCTTGGAACGTTTTTGATTGACGTCTGGACGTGGCAAATCCAATTGTCGTCTGATCATGCGATTAAAACCGCAAGCATAGACAGGCATCTGTCTCTGCACGAACAGCAAAGTAGAACTATTTACAATAGGTTTTGGTGCACGAGTTGAGGGTTCAGTATTGGCATCCTAGTTTCAAAGTTTACAGCCCCTGCTTAATTAGAGTATGTACTTAGTATGTTACGGACCGGGAGCTCCATGTGCTCTCGAAATATCCGAGGGCCGCCTTCCATGGGCCTTTCTAAGGCCCAGAAATTTGTGTAACGATTACTGGACCTCCGCTACCCTATATACTAAGAAGAGTAGAAACAAGAGCTCAAGTCGTAAGCGAGGTTTTCTTATGCGTCGCCACCGCGGCTGCTGCCTGGAGCATGGGAGCCTCGGCACCGAATCAGGAAAGTAAATGCAAACCCTACATGCCTAAGAAACATGCTCCCGCGAAACCCTGTGAGTCAGACATTTGCAGCAGACTGCGGCAGCAGCACGAAGTGGCACCCCAAGACACATGTGGCAATGTGGCATAAGCACGGCTTCAAGGGGCTGAAAACGCGGGAAAACTGCGGCGGGAGCGCGATTTTTGGAGGCGCACACGCGCGGTAACAAGTCGCGGCAAGAATCGTTTGCACCTTGCGGGAACTTCGGAAAACGGGACTCTGGAGACCGAGCCCGAGGAGCGGACAGAGGTATGCCGAACCGCCTCGCGCCCTCAGCAGCCTCAGCCTTATCACTCCTAATCCCTTCCTCCTGGGCGTAGGAACCCCATGAATCCTTTGAGGGTTCCCATTGACCGCACTGATCGGGGAAGGGAACTAAACATTATCTGCTTACATATGCTTGCACGACTGCTACTAACCTGTTACTACCCTCCCTCGCTGCTGATTCTGCAGCTGCAGCTGCTTGTGCAGCTACCACCACGACTAGTGACTAGGACAACAGGTCCTGGAAACCGTTGCAGCAGAGACATGTTTGGTACATGCAGCGGTGCGTCAGGCTCAACATAATTTCATGAGTGGTGCATGGCCCAAATCTGCTCAGCCTGAGAGTTTACATGTCACGCGACGTAACAAGATGATGGTGGAAAACCGGACCAGCATGGAACAATCGCTAGAAGCCTTAGCCCGAAATCCGAAGTCTTTAACTTCATCACCGGAACTTCAAGTAACCAAAATGGGTTCCCCGCCTGTGGCACTGGTACAGGCACTACTCACGATGGCCACCGGAAGTGGCTAAATCTTCTCGGAGAGGCCAGGTCGGGACTGGTTTGGCTTTTGCCCGGCTTCTGCTCCGTAGACCCCAAAACCCTGATTTGGTGCACACTCTACACATGCATTGGCAAGTGGTAAGCTTGGCGTGAGAGTGTACACACATTATGTCTGCATGTGTCCTAGTTTCATCATGCCTGGACGGTTGCATGAAACCCAGACAATGTACAATGAGGCCTTATGCTGGTTCTTGGTCTTCGATTGGTACACAGTGCATGGCCAATGGGAGAAGAAGCATGCGTACCTCCACCGGTTTTCTGCCTCCTGGATTGAATTACTCGGTTTCCTTTGCGTGTCATTGGGGGACGCAGGTGTAAAGAGCCCAGTACGACTACGTGATACTGATACCACACTCATAATTTGGCTGCTTCCTTCCAAGATCGGTCGCAGACTGTCGCCACAAGCCGAGAACAGAAAACGGCTTCGTCGAAGTTGTTGATCTTGGTTTCCGGGTTTTGGGGGTTACAGGTTTGAAGGTTTTCATCGGTCCAGAACGTAGGAAGATTACATGCGAGAGCATTGCGTTTCTCGCAGGCCGGACTTGGACCTTTGGGGGGGTTCTCTGTCAAGATGTCAGACACAACCTCAGCAGCTTCCTAACGAAGATTCGGAGCTTTGGGAATGCAGCTAAGACATTTCAGTCCCGAAAGAAGTTTTTCCGGGCTGTTCAAAACCGATATTATGCTGCCTGAAGCTACACCCCTTGCTTGGGGACAGCCTCAGGCTATCCAGCAGCGACTCTGGCTGCTGCTCTTTGCAGGCTCGGGTTGGGTACATACTGTACAGACAAACACACATGAAATTTTGTTCATCATTTCCGTTCATGTATTTTCACATTGGCATGCATACATCTACACCTACGCATGCATATGCGCAGTTTACCTAATATCTACATAAACTACAGGAAGTGTGGTATCACGAGAGTACTGGTGGTGCAAGGCTTCCCACAGGGATAGTGGCAGTACTCGTCATCGTCGTGGTGCTGGTAGGAGTAGGAGCAGCAGCAGTAGCAAGAACAGAAGAACGAATAGTAGCAGCAAAAAGCAGTGGCGTAGCGATGGTAGTAGTAAGTAGTAGTAGCATCAGCAGAAGCAGAAGCAGTAGCAGTAGCAGTAGCAGTAGCAGGAGCAGGAGCAGGAGCAGGAGCAGGAGCAGTAGCAGGAGTAGTAGCAGGAGTAGTAGTAGTAGAAGAAGTAGTAGGAGGAGTAGCAATAGTAGTAGCAGCAATAGTAGCAGCAGTGGTACTAGTAGTAGCAGTAGTAGTGTTGTAGCCGCAGTTGTAGTAGTTGTCGTTGTCGTCGTCGTAGTAGTCGTAGTAGTAGTAGTAGTAGTAGTAGTAGCAGTAGCAGTAGCAGTAGCAGTAGCAGTAGCAGTAGAAGTAGAAGTAGTAGTAGCAGTAGTAGTACCTTCTGTTTGGTGTTGTGAACGCATAGGCGCATCTCCTGCGGAGTGTCGTAACCCCTTGAACTGAACTTGTGTACTGTCTTTGGTGCTGCGAGAACCTTGCATCGTCAGTCCCTGGCTTTTGGGGTGTGCATAGTCAGATCGTGTTTCTGGACATCACTGATAAAGAGGATCTTAATGTGCACTTTGGAAATCTGGCCCCATGCAAACCTGTGGTAGTAGCTATGCAGTCTTTCAGACGAGCCATGCGGGATCCAAAAAAAGGTAAAAGTAGCAGTAGTAGCAGTAGTAGTAGTAGTAGTAGCAGTAGTAGTAGTAGTAGTAGTAGTAGTAGTAGTAGTCGTAGTAGTAGTAGTAGTAGTCGTAGTCGTAGTCGTAGTCGTAGTAGTCGTAGTCGTAGTAGTAGTAGTAGTAGTAGTAGTAGTAGTAGTAGTAGTAGTAGTAGTAGTAGTAGTAGTAGTAGTAGTAGTAGTAGTAGTGGTAGTAGTTGCAGTAGTTGCAGCAGCAGTAGTAGTAGCAGCAGTAGGAGCAGTAGGAGCAGTAGTAGCAGCAGCAGTAACTGTAGTTTAGTGTAGTGTAGTAGCGTAGGAGGTACTGCACCGTTGTACTTGTACTAGTCCAAGTACAGTACTAGTACTAGTTACTGGTTCCCAGTCTTGTAGTACACATCCTCCGTTCCGTTCTGTAGCCTGACACTAACCGGCTGTGGTTGCTCGACCTCTAGTAACGGGCTTGTGTAGCTAGTTGCCTGCGGGTTCCGAATTGTATAGGCGGGCGTGGACAGTACGGGTCTAGAGTCACCTTGAGCTTCTTCTTTCGCATCTGCTTAGTCGCAGAACAATTTCAAGTTCCGACACCTTACAGCATTCAGCTGTTGTGGGAAGTAGTTGTTGAAGGTACAGGTTCTTGCACCGGAAGCCCTGAACCTTGACATACCCTGGCGAGAACGTCTGATATCTGACTGAGTATCTGCCAAAACGCCACCGAACTCCAAGCAGGTGCCTTCTGCTTCCTCGAGGTGGAAGGACAGAAAAAGCGATACTGTAGAGGTATGATGGCAGATAGCCTCTACTTGTGGCAGCTGCATTTATGTACTCTTGGTGTGTTGCCGTGTTGCTGTGACGGTTGGCAAGGACGAGATTACGACTCCTATCGACTCGTTGCGACTCAACGACGACTAAGACACCGACCTCGACGGCGACGGTCACTGGCACGCAACGGCGACGACGACTACTACTGCCGCTATTGGTCCTGCTGCCGCTGCTGCCTTGGCGCGTTTCATGCTACCTATTTCGGTTGCTGCTGCTTAGTGCTGCTCCTCTTACCACTGCTCGCATTGTCACCGGTGTGAGGAGGTCTCAAAGGGCAGGGCCAGTCACGGTACATGAGAACATGAGGAGGCAATTGAGGAGGTCCCACATCAATAGATGTTCCTAGGAGGTTCAGAGGTTTTGCTGCAGCCGAAGGTCGGTATGTGGTTTGATATCAAGCAACGTGCCAGGTGGATCGCTTGAACGGTCTCGCAGCGATCCACGAGTCGGAGCAGTTGGGCTTAGGACACTACATTCATGCTTGATGGCCTTTGAATTCAGTTTAATCTTACGAACAGTATTGTCATTTGGCATCACTCTGAAAATGAAGATTAGAATGGTCATCATTTGGTTGTAGTAGATACGATGCTGGGTATTCTGAGGTTTGGTACTCTTCTTGTTTGTATGCTGCGTACTAGTCGTAGTAGTCGTCGTCGTGGTGGTGATAGTGTGATTATTGCTGGTGGGAGTATGATTTTCGCGTCTGCATTGTCGAAGTGTGCTTTCGGAGCTATCGCCAACATATTGGTGGCAGGTGCGGGTCCATTCAAGTTTGGGCTACAGATTACACTAACAGCAGGCGCGAAGGTGCCATGGAAGGAGACGAGAAAGCACCATTGATTGCTAGACAGCACTGTGATCTCACCAAGCAAAAGCTTGTAGTTACATTTCTGGGCTGGGTTGCATTTTGCAATCCTCTCCTGTTCCCAGATGGAGAGTTCTATTAGTGGGTTTGGCCAGTCTTTGAGCTCTGAGGCTGTGTCTGGACGGTGGCTGCAATGCAATCTGGGGTCCTAGCAAGAGCGATGACCTGACCCGCGCAAGGATATCGCGGCTCCATCGTCCATGCAACATGCACTCGCCAGGACGATGCTTGGGGGGTCGGGCTGGGCACCTGGTGAAGCCTCCCCGAGCCAAGAGTTTCCCATGGTGATGTGGTGGTAATTACCATGTGGTCATTTTGGCCATGACGAGCCTGACGATGGTGGCAGTACGAAGTCCTTCGGAGACAGTGACAATAGTCGGCAACTTTTGGAGCGTCGTTGTTTTTGCAGATGTCATCGCCGCCTTGATGGCCCATGACTTAAATCGATCTTGTTTGAAAGTTTGATTGTCATCGGATACCCACTAAAGCCCCGCGACCCAGAAGCACGGAACTGGGCGGAGGCCGCCTTTGGTGAGGGAGGGGCTTCGGGTTTCTGGATTTCTGGCGAAACCGGGTCGGTTCTTGAAGCGCCAAGGCCCGTCCATATATCCTCAAATATCCTCAAAGATGTTTCGGGTTTAGGGTCGCCTATACAAGTCCGTGCAAAAAAGGGTGGTAAGCCTTGCGATGCTTGAGTTTCTGGACTTCTAGAAGCTCAGGGTGTTTTTTTGCTCAGGCAGTGAATCATTAAATCATATGCACCTTGCATGTGTGCAGTTGCCCGAACCTTTTCGCTAGAGGTCTCGACTCTACCATCGCCAGGAGGATGACGAGCAGATCCGACAGGAGATCGGAAGAAGAGTCGCTGATGTGGACTATGCCATCAAGGCTATTATCTGCTTGCGTGGGTGTAACCTTGTGAAAGCAAGGCCAGTCGTTCCACATAACGGTAGGCAACCCAAAGAGCATCACCTAGCAAAGGCCGCGCTTTGCATTGGTTGCTGCGTCAGATCAGACATTCCTGTAACGTTCATTCGGCCAAGTAAATGCCGCAGCAGGAGCCGCAGCCTGCGTCGACGTGTGGTAGTAGCGGCGTAGTAGTAGTAGTAGTAGTAGTAGTAGTAGTAGTAGTAGTAGTAGTAGTAGCAGCAGCCGTAGTAGTAGCAGGAGTGGTAGTAGTCGTCGTCGTGGTGGCGGTGGTGGTGAAAGTGGTAGTGGTCGTGGTGGTGCTTGTGGTGGTGGTAGTAGCAGAATCAACGATTGATTGGCTTTTTGGCATCTTGGGAGCGGGATTGGAAGGTCGAGGCATTGCCCCAGCTTTGTCGACAGGTCCTCCTCGAAGCCGGGATGTCATCGCCTGCGTTGCGCAACATCGCCTCCAAGGGCGTCAGCATCGATCAAGCTGCCAACCCACAGATCACCCTGCCTTTGCTGATACTGGTGCCACTGAACATGATACTAGGTGACTTAATAGTGGAAACCTTTCTCGCGATTGCTCCATGACTTTGTGTCATTTGGTAACTTGAACTAACGGACAAGATGAAGACAGAAACTCAGAGGAGTCACCCAAGGATCAACGTTGTTGCAACTCTCTTCGACATCTTCTACCTTGAAGCATGGCAAGGTTTTAGGATGGTTCTCTGCTTCAGAGGTTTCGATCTTGTGCAAATTAGGAGGACAGGGCTTCCGGAAGCTTTCGGCCTCCTAGCATTCCCCAGCCTCGAGCTGCTTGCAAATCAGGAGCTGGAGATTTCGAACAAGATCATCTAATCAAACCCTGCCGGTGTTCGCGATATGTGATTGTAAGGTTTTGTGGCGTGCAAGTTTCTTATATCATCTCATTCCACATTGCTTCACGTCATAACCCCATCCTGCCGTATCGTACGGTATCGTATCATGTCATATCATTCCACATATCTTTGTACAGACATATACTAGCACATGTGTACATGGAGTTACGTGCATACATACATACCTACATACGGAGGTAATTCCATACATCATATATCGGCTAGGTGCCTTCCTGCTTTTTTTGATGTATGGACTGTCCTGAGACGAAGGATGATGAGCTGGAGCATTGGGAGCGGAAATCGATGGGAGCGACGTCAATTCTGGTACGATGTCTCATTTTGTGTATGCTGTATAGAAAAACTCGAGATGAGCGATGCTTCATATACTTGGTCATACAGAAGTTGTCCATGGCATATTTGGCTTCCATGACACCCCGTCTGGTGGTGTGGGAGATGTGGGCGAAGACCATGGTCGCTGCGACCACACATGGCCTGATGTCAATACAGCTCCTGACATACAGCTTTTGCTTCTTCTTCGCCGTGCTTGGCATAAGGGGAACAGCTTCCATTCCAGGGCACCTCGACCTTTTTATAACCGGCGTTGGCCCACGCGCCCACGCCTGTGGCTTAAGTAAAATGTTCCATACAAGGCGGGCAAGCCTTAAGAAATACACTACACACTCCCAACTCAGGTGCGGCCTTTGCTTGCTGAGGATGATCATGGCGCGCAGCTTTCGAGCCTGCTGCCATGTGCCTCATGGCGTCTCGTGTGGAAGCACGGAGAGCGAGTCTGACTCGGAGAGCTGGAGCTCGAGGAGCAGCGTAAGCTCATATTCGACCTGAGTTCCAGGCGGGAGGCCATAGCCGTGACCAGTGCTACTCTACCTTTCTGTCGTGAGACAGGGCGAGATCCTCGAAAAAGCATGGACGGCTCAGCAGGTGAGGGGTGTTCTAAGGCTTCTAAGGACCACGGGTTTCAAGGTTGTTTCCTCGATGCCCGGACAGGGGCAGCCAAGTCTGCTCTGCAACCACCGGGTTCTTGTCTGTGTGGTCGCATAAGAGTTCATGATCGAGCTTGATGGACTGAAGGCTCAAACTGACATTATATGATGGTTTCGAGCTCGCTTGCGCTGAAGGGTTCTGGCTTGCGGTGCATGGGAACAGAAATTGAGGGCTCAGTGCATCCAAATGGGTTCACAAGCATATCCTCGAACTGAAGGATGCGGAGGGATTGAGACAACATCTCTTGCACAGCTGAGCTTGACCTTATTTGGTCTTGCTACTCTTATGTAGTTGTTGTCACACATGCAGTAGTACAGCAATCAAAACGGAAATGCTGGTTCGTGGTTTAAGGTTACTTGTCCTTGCAGTTCCTGCAGGCAGAATTTGTAGCCATGCATGGAGCAGACGAAGCTCTTGTTTTCCAATCTCGGGATGCGAGCTTCGGGTTTAGGGTTGAAGTTCCAAGCCCCAGACTGGATGTGACCAATCCAACATGCATCCTTTTGCAGGTTCGGCTAGTTTCAGCAGTTGGGGTTCCACCGCCATACGTTACGCTTTTTGGCTCAGCGCGCATCCGAAGCGCAGCTGGTCTCTGGGCCATGCGGAGCAGAACTTCAGAAGCAATCGACCTGCACAACATTGTGACGCCCGACCGCTGGTGTGTGACATGGCAGGACCTGGAATACCTGGAAGCCACAGTACAATCTGCAATCCGGAAGGGTGGAATCGTGCCCCCAGAAAATGGGATGGACGACTTTCTGGGTTCGGAGAAGAAGCATGGCCCCAGCATCTACACCGTGACGGAGCAGCATATCAAGCCTGTGACAGCGCTCGCGGGCAAGATGAGCTGGGCTTTGATGCGGAATCCTAACGGCTTGGATTGCGATCTCTTCATCAGCCATGCCTGGCAGGAGGGTATCTTCGAGTTCATGGCGAAAGTCCTGCACTCCTGGCCACCCCTGATGCACCATGCTTGGTGCTGCATGCTGGCAAACCCCCAGCACCTGGACCTATCAAGCATGCTTCAGTCTCCACTCCACTCGCCGTTTGCGATTGCACTGGAGGCGTCTTCGAACGTATTGGTGGTGCCGAACCATCACCGGTCGATTTACACTCGGCTTTGGTGTGCGTCTTGGTTTCTGGAGTGCCATACCTGATTTCGTTCTTGCGACCTATTCTTGAAAGGGGCCAGTATGAAACAAAAGTTTAGGTTTTTTCCCTGGGACCTTCAAAGCCAAGGCATATGAGGCTTACCTAGCCCAAGAAGAAGGCAAGACGATTCTCATAGCAAGAGCTTCAAACTGGCCAGCAATTCACCAGGCCATGCGGCGCATGTTCTTCGCAGCTATCCTGGGAATGGTCCTCGCCGTGCCGGAGTCGCAATCATTGAGGATCGTGGTATGCCCGTACTGGTAAGTGTTGCAACAGCAGGGGAGGCATCGGGAAGTGTGTTTGCTGGTAGTCCTAACCACCATGAAACATTGATGAGAAGACCTGCTCTGTAATGCCGCCGTGCGCATGCTAGCTCAGTATCGGGAACACTTCAGGTGTTGGTGGACGTGCACGATTGGAATGCGGCACTGAACTTGGCGGCGCTTTGCGTTGCAGCGATCGCTGCAGCATGGAGCATAGGCACGGAAGACCACAATTCTCAGGTTTTGGTGAATCTGGTGGGTGAGACCACCGCCTGGTTCCTGGGCTTTTCGGAATACTTTTGCGTGCCGTTTCTTCCCGAAAGCATCAACAGCGAACGAAATAGCCATATAGTGGGAACATGCGACAAAGTAGCTTCCCGGCAAAAAGTAAGATGTTGGAAAATACCGGTCGAAATGCATCTTGCTATGGAGGTTCCTCGTCTTGAACTGGTGCACCGTGGGTTGCCCGGCAGGGAACGAGGGAGGGAGCAACACCCAAATATACCCAAATCCCGAAACAGCAAGCCTACCGTACACTTTCGACCTTTTGCTGACCCTGGTTATTTAACCCCAGGGCCCTACATACATACATACATACTTACATACAAACATACATACACACATACACACCTACACATACATACATACGCATGAAAACATACGTACATGCATACAGACGCACACACACACACAGACACAATCACAGATACACACACAGAGACACCCACACACAGACACACACAGAGACACACACACACACACACAGAGACACACACACACACAGAGACACACACAGAGACACACACAGAGACACACACAGAGACACACACAGACACACACACACACAGACACACACAGAGACACACACACACACAGACACACACACACACACACAGACACACACACACACACACACACACAGAGACACACACACACACAGAGACACACACACACAGAGACACACACACACACACACACACACACACACACACACACACACACACACACACACACACACACACACACACACAGACACACAGACACACAGACACACACAATGTTGTGTTGGCAGGTTTCGGAATTGGAGGGGTGGTCGACTTCCCTAAGCGCATTGATGATGAAGGAATTTAGGCTTTTTGAAGGCTTGCAAGTGGAAGGGATTTGTTTGGTTTTTCTTTCAAGTTGTTGGAAACGGATTGTAGAAAATCGCGGGGCCGCGATTCGTTCTAGGCCCCCCCCCCTCAACCCTCAAGACGCTAATGACTAATCAAGCCCGTCTTCCTTTCCAGGCAAAGAAGGCGCAGACCATGGCATTGGATATGACACCTGGCTGCTTCAACACTCTTTCTGGATCAATTTTTTTTGAATCCATCTAGTGTCACACCCCGGTGCCCGGCAGAAGAGAGGAACCAAAGTCCTAACCAAATCACAGGCGATCTATGCAGGGCTTCAGAGGATGGAACTACTGGCCTTTGCAAGTGCCTTTTTGCTGCTGGAGGCCGGGCACTCTGGGACTTGGGGGCCAAGTTGAAGTGGTAGGGATATAGGAGTTTGGGTATCCTACCCCCTCAACCTCCTAGACTTGCCCAAAACCGGCTGAAGGGTCAAGAGAGCTGTGACAACAGAAAAGGGTCGAAGTCTAGGCAATGTGGAGCACACCTTTCCGCGATGAAGAGCTCCTAAACAAGATGCCGAGAAGGCTGCTTCTAAGTTGCTATTGCGTAAGCACTACTGGGCCGGATGTGTTGTACTGCTCATGACAAGGTCGGCCGTGCACTTGCTAAACGCGTGCGATATCTTCAACAATCCTAGCATGGCCCACAATTGGATAACTGCATGGGTCAGCCCTAGTGACCCTAGTGGGTTTGATTCGGGCAACTAGGCCCCGATCTTTATCTTGCGAGACCCTGAACGAGCATTCCGCCCGAGAGTGATGGTGATAAGCCTCCTCCCAGCGAAAAGCCTTTTTTTGTCACCGGAGAATGAGAAAGCGCACCAGGTAGATGGTCACGTTAAGTGGGGCTATGGTATGTTATGGTTTTCCTAATCTTACTCCCTGGAACCCCCAAACCCTAAACCACAGCCTCTTAGTGAAGTCTCACTTTGCAGACGCGAACTCATATGCCTCGCCTGGATTGTCCGAGTGTGAGCGCCGAAACCCTGTGGTTGGAGAGCTTGCTGTGCAGTATGAGGGTTTGTTAATGTGCACCTGGTGAATGTGCCGGGTAAGATGCCAAAGCGTGTGCTGGGACTTGGAAGCCTCGCCAAGGCTTGTCCGAGAGTGAGTGCTGAAACCCTGATCTCTTTGCCTTTGTGGAGTGTTTTTGGTCTGATAGCGGTTGTTTGGAAACCCTCCTAGTTGTGTGCTGCTGCTTTCGTTGCGATACGGTGGACTAAGTGGAGCCTTGCCTGCCTTGTGCGAGTGTGAGCGTCGAAACCCTGATCCGGGAAGTGGAGGTCGACCGAGTCAGAGGTGAAGCAGCGATTTGCGAAGCCACTCAGCTCGGACGAGGCCTCATGGGCTTAGCTTTTATGATCCGAAAGCTGTTGAGTTTGGGATTTGAGGTAACACGGTTTCATAAACGAACAAGATCCGAGGCTCAATATTATAGGTCCTGAGATCGGCCGGATCAGTTAACACAAGGCCCCTAAAAGTAAAGAGAAATATCCTCATCTATCACCGATGTGGTCCAAGTTTGGCTTTGCAGCCTTGTTCGGAGTTGTATAGGCCTAAAATGGCAGAATCCTGGCAGCGAAATCTGAGAGACAGTTTACTTTGAAACCGTCTCGAAGGGTGGAGAGGGGTGTTCGGCATCAGCGGACCCTTGGCTGTTGACTTCGCTGTTGGAGGATATTCAATGGTGATGTGGTTGGAGTTTCACAGGCTGGCCCAAATCTATCTCCAGAGGATCCCTCTAGAATCTTGTTCTATCGGATTTTAGCGCAGTGGGCAAACCCTCAACCCTCCGCCTAAGAGATCCTGCCAGAATATTCCGGCTCCATCGCGAGTGCTTCGTGCTCGCGTATGGAAGACGATGAGCACATTCGGAAGGAGATTGGCGCCAAGATCTGTGAAGTTGATTATGCCATTGAGGCAGGACACTGGCGCTTCATGGCTTGCCTTTAGATTTAGAGTTCTTTATGCTCGTGAACAGTGCCTGTCCGCTTTGGCAGGTTCTCATGGCTGCCGGAATATCGACTCCATCCTTGCGTGAGATCGCACACCAAGGCGTCAACATCACGGGAGCAGCCCACTCAGAAGTCACAATGCCTCTTCTTTTCCTGGTGCCTTTGAACTTTATCGGCGCAGTGAAGCTCTTCTTTAATATCTACTACCTCAACAAGGCGTGGGTCATCATACCTTGCATGGAAGGGCTGACTGTCTTGCTGCGGATGCACCTCCTCTTCATGCTAAGCTGGAGTCCT